TTCCCTTTCGTGGCTGTTTCACTTTTTTCCGCCTTGTGAATTATAGTCGGTCAGTGGACTGAAGTACCTGGTTGACAGCTTACAAACTTTTTGTGAATATAAATATAAATTCTGTTGTTTTGCTTAATGCTGAAAGAGATCAACCGAAAACCAAAAACAAACTGAAACGTACTCCCTATATGATAACCCGGGGTAAATTATGACTAAGGAATTACGCCAATGGATCAACGGATAAATTTGGTTTCTGGTCTGTTTTTGACTGAACTCCTTGTTTTAGTGTTTGCAAGCAGATGTTTTCATCAATGTTTCCGAAAAAAGTTTTAACCTAAACCAAACAAAAGGAATTTAGGAATCGTTTTTATCTTGTCTAGTGAACGCAATCCTGTTTGGACTGTTTGTAGTTGAAGCATGCAAGAGGAAATCTGTGCTTTCGGATAACGCAACCACCTTGGGGGAGCAGAAATCACGTGTAAACTGTCGGTACGTGAGCGTTGTGTTTACAGTGGTAACTAGAAACTACGATATCGCTATCGACAATGCAGTACTGAAATTTGTTGGCATGCACAAAAACAGTCGACATTTAGTCTGCCAGACAAAGAATGTGTTTATAATGAACAAGTGGCGGCACTTCTGGTTTATGAAAGTTGCACTCTAAAAGAAGAGAGTCAAGCACAAATCGCAATATCTGACACAGTGGCATGTTAGAATCTAATTGGGTGCAAATGATTAGTTCTCAGTGTTCAAGATTTTCATTCTATCGGGAGTTGGAAGTTAAGTAAATTTTAGCCTTACTGCATTTTTTATTGGTACGGGTAAACAGACATACCGAAATAGACAGGGAATACTAGTATTGTGAGGTACTACTCAAATTAGTGAGTTCAGTGCAGTTTTCGCAATCACTAACCGTGAAAATTCATGTGGCGGTATTGGTTGCTATCTTTAAACATCCTATTTGGGTAAAAAAGCATAACGAAAATTGAAATGTTGAGGGCGGAGTCAAGATGAAAATAGAGAGTTCATATCGACACTCAGCCATATTACTCAGCGTTTCTAATCACCGGTTACGATGTTCCCGAGGCCCCATCCAGGGAACCAAACGCAGCCGATATGACCGGTTGGGATTTTCATACTCTCATACGGGGTTTTAGTTTGGCCAACCATCCACTAAGTGTCTCGGCAAATATTGCTCATCATGGCAGTCTATTTGATGACATGAGCTACAGTTGTGAGTAGTGTCTATGAGGCGGTTGGTGGAGCAAATCGAAAGACTTAATATAGTTACTTTAGAACAGGTAAGATGACTGTCGAACTATCAGACTACAATTCAAGAACCGTCCATGACAATACTAATCAACTGTTGCAGGTTACGTGTTTTGTTCTCGGTAATCCGATTGAACCCTTTATCCGTGTTGCTTATTCAATAAAGTAGTATTCTCAGTCTTATTCTAGTCTCGTGGAATTATGACACTAATACCCACAAGATGAAAAGCCCATATATTCTTTGTATATCTCTAATATTAGCACCTTGAGAAGTGTTTCATTTCATTTCGAGGCTGGTGTTTATGAGTTTTCTGTACTGTTTTGTCCTGCTAGGAAGAAGTTTCTGACCGGTAATGAGGATCTTCTGAAAAATGTCACTGATTTGAAACTACAAAATTGTGAACTAGAGGCTGAGCGTGCAAACGTAAACAGACAGGTACGTTATTTATGTAAGTTGGAAAGAAATTCACGTCATTGCGAAATTTACATCTCTTAATCAGTAGTTTGCGTTACTCTTGGAAGAAACCATACAGTTATGATTTATTCAAATAGATCAATTCAAAACCGTTTGGTTCTGCAATGTGCAGATGGAAAACTATGGTTTCATTTCATTCCCCCTCGTTAAAGTGCAGTTTTTAAATTAAAGGTAAAAGTAATTTGCTTGAAATTCCGATAAAGTGCACTAAATATTGGCATTGTCCCGCTCGGGACTGATCAGTGGCGCGTACCCTTTTTTGTTCCCGCGGGAAATTAAATCTCACACTTTCTAGGGAATGCCAGAATCTGTATCCCCTTGTGATATTCGACATTGCTAAATCAATGGTTATCGAAACCGAAGTGAAGTAAACCAAATTTGATAACCTAAACCTTGAACTCATTGTTAGGCAAAGTAAGCCGGATTTTGTTCAGTTCCGAGTAATGAGTTTCAACAAGGATGAAACATATATTCATTGCTCTTCATTAACCGTTACAGAAATATTCTGGTAAATGAAAAGAATCTGAATGTGGAGGGGGACTATCAAAAAGTGGGACCAGAAGATGAATAACGTTAAAAGCACACTCTGGCCTCCATGAATTTACATGGAACTGAATAGGACCAGGTTGAATACGGTTCATTAAACTAGCAAAAGGATTCGCAAATGCAGTGTTATCCAATTTTCTTAGTTATCTCGTTTTGAGTTTCTGTTTGCCTTCCAAGCATTGAAAGTACCTTTTTCTTGAGGTTTAGGATTATAGGAGGTAGCAGTGATGAAGATGTTTGGGTATATGTCCATAAGACACTTATTCTAATCCTGGTGTTGCTTTCGTTGAAGGCATCACCTTGATGGGGATCGTTTCTGTGAGAAGCAACGGTAAGGCAGCTTAGGTTGCGTTAGGCTTCCCAGATGAGGACCTCNAGATCCGTTCAATCGGTGATATAGTTGAGTGTAATAAAAACGGTGGACCTGATGCATCTATTCAATTTCTTCGTAAGCCTAGTTCAAGTGCACTTTCACCTGGTACTGGTCTCGCATTTTTATTTGACTGTGTACTCCTTAGTCATAATTCGATCAAATGGGCAACAGCAGCCAAAATCGCTCCACAAAGTTGAAAGGTTACCGGTTGTAGGTCTGAGCTGAATTCATCACTGTCATCAAGTCAAGTCAAGTTAAGTCAAGAAGCGGCTTTAATTCGCCCCATAGGGAATGAACATTCAGCTATTACACACTCACTCTTCTGTGGAAATTGCATAGTAAAAAAGGCTGATTGATACGTTATATATACAAATAAATAAGAGAAATTTAGCAAAGATTTTGTTTAAGAGGCCTAATGACAAGATCAGCGTTAGTAAGGAATCGTGCCCAGTACGTTACCACGGAAGACTTGTGTGTTGTGGTGCGTGCTGCTGTATGCTTATACGTAAAGTGAGTGCTAGATTTGGAGATACATTGACTAAGGTGAGGGTACAGTGAATGAGATGGGTCAAGTAGTATTCTGGTGGGAAGTTTCTGGCAAGCCCTAAGGTGATGTGAAATAATAAGCTGCATAACATACTCAGGAGATGTGCCGATGTATCGACCTACGTGTTTGATGGATGTACGTATGAGTTTGAAGTCTTTGACTGAAATACCCGGAAATGTAACAGGGGATGCATAAAGCCAGTGGGGAAGGATACAAGAGAAAACAAAACGCTTTATTAGGTGAGTTGGAGTAGATAAGCATTTTCAAAGGAATAACGTAAAAGGTGAATTTTCTGACTTTGTGAAATGTCTCGATGACATGAGGAGACCAAGAAAGATTGCTGGAAATGGTGACCCCAAGATATTTGACGGAGCATGTTCTGGACACTTCTTCACCATTGATAACGACATACTGACAAGAGTTCATCACATCAATATATTGATCACCCTTCAGAAAAGAAAAGAAAACATCATTACACTTGGAAGGATTCATTATAAGATTGTGTGATGAAGACCAGTCGGTGAGCAGTGAAATATTCTGCATAAGTTTGGGGTACATGGGGGGATTCGAAAACTTCATGCCATGCACAGTATCATCGGCATACTTAATGAGCAAACAATCATCATTGAATCATTGAAGAAATATAGGTTGTGAACAAGAAGGGAGAGGGAATAGCTCATTGAAGAATTCCTTGAGTGGATGGTGAAAGTGAAGAGTTACGACCCTTATATTTAGTAAACTGTAATCGATGGGTGAAATAATTCCGTAACAGAATGGTAAGCTCCGCCTGAATGCCTTTCTCAGAGAGAATGTGAAGAAGTTTGGACCTATCAACACAGTTAAAGGCATCACCATAATCAAAGAAACATACACGAACAGCTTTACATTTCTGGTCCAAGGAGGAAGACATAATGAATTAGGGATGCCAACGCATCAATGGTTGACCTGGAACTGCGATAGGCAAATTGATTGGGATCAGGTGCATTCAGCTGGGGCAACATATGTAGTAAAATCTTTTCCGTGACTTTCAAACCAACAGAAGTGCAGGCGATTGGGTGAAATTTGGACGGTCCCTTTTTGGGTACTGGCGTAATAGAAGCCACTCTCCAGCAGTCCGGAAAGCAATGTTGAGTAAAACCATGGTCAAGTCGGTCGACGAAAACAGAGGAGAGGGAAACTGCACATTCTTTGAGCACAACAGGTGACAGTCCATCAGGACCGCATTCTTTATCAGACTTCAGATGGATGAAAGTTTTGAATAACTCTGATTATCAGTAATTAAATTAATAACATTAGTAGCAGGGATAATCGTTGTGAATGGAATAGGGATGTCGGTTTCACCATTGCTAAATTGGCGATTTAGATCGTCCCCATTGGCAGCTGGAAGCTTCTCCATCGTTTTGAGACCGCACCACTGAAACATCATTTTCCATGTATCCCGGGAGACCATCTGGTTTATTTGAACTGTATTTTTAAAATGAGTTAAAAATCTTAAGAAAACAAACTTCCAAAACCTCCAAAACTTGTCATCCAACAAATGTTGGATTTTCTGTGCTCCAGCAGAGAGAAGCGTTCTAATTCTATGGGTAAATGTGGAACTCAAAATTCATATGAAGTCAAACCCCCACTTTAAGCACTTCCCGCGTCTAAAGCAAAATCCGACTCTCCTTTTCTAAAGACAATGCAAATAATCCTGTTTAGACTACCTGATCTGATAGATGATTTACGCATCACAGCATCGATTGTCATTAGGTATAAGAAATCTTTACCTATCAGATTGTACTTATCGAAGCCTGTTGTTGGACGTAATCTGCTAAAAGTATGCCTACTGACTGTTGCCCCCAAATAATCTCTTAATTCGTAGCTGGGAAAATCCGATTCATGGGCCAAACCACCGATGTTACTTCTCTGTCCGCTTGAATTTTTCAGCTGTCTCTGTTGAGACAAGAAGTGGAACAACTGCGTTCCGAGTTGAATGTGGAAAGACAAAGAGCGTCAGATGCCGCACAAGCGAATACGGAAGCTGAGTACAAACTATCCCAACTGACACAACGCACACGCGGAGAACTGACCAATTTACGTCTCGAGGCACAAGAACAACGAGTAGCGATAGAGAAGCAACGCGATCAATTTGCCTCAAAAGCTCAAGGTTAGAGGACACCATTTGTGGGTGCTGATTTTAACAATAGACTGAAGTGCAATATCGTAAAAAATAATCCAAAGAAAAGGATCAATGGGTTATCATCGGATCCACAAGATGTGCCAGATCAGTAAAACTTTTATCAAACCGGATAATGAACAGTCCGTTAGTTTTCTTTTTTATACTGCATTAATAGATTTGCTCAGGATTTCAGTGTCAGTCAATCTCAGAGAAACGGTATGGTGGCAGCACACATCTTCTATGAAAGTGCTCTAACGAATCCCTGACAGTTTGATCAATGTGCAGTACTGATGGACTCTAATAAGAGTGATACTCGTGTTTTCGGGTTAGGGGTTGACAAACCGAAAGCTCCGATTGTGAGTCCTCAAAAAAATGCACATTCTTTGACCCGGGAAATCTGGCAGTATTCCGCTCGATAGCAAATCTTGGACTTTTCTGCTCTCTACAAACAGACATATATTCGTGTGACTTACTGCGCTGAGGATTGTGTCTGGTTCGGTTTTTACAACCATTAACCTCGCACATTCATATGACAGTTTTGGTCGCCATCTCTCTTGGCTGCTCAATTGGGATAGAGTAGAAGGAAGAATGTGCATAGACACACCGCCTGAAACCAAAAACATCATTACAATTTTATAGTAATAGAGTTAAGAGTATCAGCATTAAAATTGAAAAACTATCGGTAAAGAGCTATGCTTACTGTTATTATTATTAATAAGAGTAGTAATGCTAATGACAAACTTAATGGAATTTAAATTCGAAATAGTGTAGCTTTTAGATATTTTTATGGTTATGTACAACATGAATGGTTCAAATAAATAGAGTTCATAAAATGTTGAGGCCATCATTCATGTCATATGTATTTCATTCACGTTTGTAGAACTGGAGCACCAACTGGAAATTATGTCGACTCGGTGCCAACAAGTGGAAGCGGATGCTAAAGCACAAGTGCTGGCCTCAGCAGAAAAAGAAGCCACGGTACGAGATCAGTGGATCCGAGAGAAAGCCAAATTGGAAGCGCGCTGTCACGAGCTTTCAAATCGTCTACGGGCCACTCACTTACCAACTTCGGGCGAAAACCATGATAATCAGACAGAGGTGAGATAAATTTGGCATTGAATCTTGTTTAAACAACATTCGCAAAATAAGGAAAGAGTTAGGCTGACCGTAAAGTTTAACACAATCTAGTTAATGAAAGTGGAATTTACTGTTTTTCACTAGTAGCATTAACCGTGCTACAGAAAGTGAAATCAACAAAACATCATTCATTTCGTTTTGTTTAGATTCAACAGTGAACTTATTCAGTGGTGCGCAATAACTTTGCTTGATCCACAGTTTGTATCCGCTCATTTTTGTAAGTGCAAGTCAGAATTCGTTCAATCTCTGTTTTGAAAACCACGTCCGTAGTTTATTAAAAATACATGGTAATAATTTGAACAAACATCAAAATGATCGTATTTCTAATTATGTATTTCGGATGTACACAACTTTGCTACCTGTTAGTTCGATACCATTCGACCAAACCAGACTAAAATTCGAGGACATAGGAATAAAATCAAATCGGGAAAATGCATGAAAGCCAACTGGAGAGCTCATCTGTAAAACTTTCAGCTAGGTTTTAAAAATACAGTGTTCACAATGACTGTTTAGCTGTTTTGCCGTGAAGTAAGTTTACTCCTCTAGGCCTGCCTAAGAATTTCCTGAGCGATTGAATTCTTCTCTTCAAGTCAGAATATTCATCCAACATGTCTAAAAATTCTCAGTCCGATTTTCGGGTTAACTAGCTTACCACTAATTGAAAAGAACTGATCGGCAACCCAACATCAGGAGGCATTCTTGTTACGCCTTATTGGCGTTTGTAATGAGAAAGCTCCAGGCTCGAACATAACTACGAGAAGCTAATGCCAATAAACAATAACAAAGTCTTGCAAACGCCACGGTTGCCTTAGCAATAACGATTCACGTCAGCTGATATGGGTGGAGCTGGTCGTTTTCATCCATGTCCATATTTCCATCTCCGGTAGATCAGCTCGAAAAACACGGATATTCAACAACTGGAAATCGATCGATTAAATCAGAAATTGATTCATGAGGAAACACGCAATATACAATTGGAGCAGCTCCTTCAACAAAAGGTAGGTATTTGTCAATAAATTTTCAAACCGTAACTTGGATACTTAAATTGAATACTGAAGGATGCATTTTAGAAGAAAAGACCATAGTATATTACTGCACGATTTATGTCCAGTACAGTTTTAATGTATCTCAATTTAGTGCGTACTGCTGAAAATGCAATACTTATGAAGAGTAACACAGATGTCTCAAGTTGGCAAATGCCAATCGCGCCTCCTGTTTGGGTGCGGACACTTCATCTGTGATGCATCAACCGGGTGAGATATCACTAGATAAAGCATTAAACACGTGATGAATAGGGCCGTCATTTTGAAGAAACCCACAGAAGCGCTACGCAAACTTTTGTTGCAGTGTGCGTATAACACTAAATTTGTTTTCATTTTTCTCCTCTGTTATCTTCTGTTTCGAAATTCCGTTCTCAATAAAAACAAAGCAACAGTATAAAAGAAGAAAATTCATCAAAAGTGAAGGTTAAAACAAAAAATATTTACTACTATTTTTATTATTCTTTATAAACCTTTTGCTTAATCTTTTCAATTTATACCCGCATCCCTCTTTTGACTTCCATTGTTTGGTTAGTACCATTTATGTCCCCAAATCGGGGCATGCTATATATATATATATATATCGCCTGCTTATGGTGGGAGCATCGCATGAGTACCGATTAGCTCAGACGGCATGTGTTAGGGTCCTATAGTCTTCCCCTGAGCAAAATCTTTTCACTGCATCGTGGCACGTCCTACGAATGCCTGAACGTCTGTCATACCGTGCACTATTTGCAGACACTGATCCGGGCTGGGAGAAACAGCAAGGTGAGCAGGCTATGACATGGCTTTGAAGGTTGAAGATTTTTTCCTGGGATTTGTCTTCCGTCGGGGCTTCCCGGTTCGCCGACTAGGGCCCCAAAGATTCAGTTTTTTGGCTGAAGACATAGCGGGCTATGGTATGAAGCCGAGTTCAGTGGCATAAGTGCACTTTTTCCGGTATCCAGTCCCAGTTAGTACCTAAAAATGATTATTTCCGTTTGCTTCTTGTCCTGTTTATTTTTAAGCCCAGTCTGTATGAATTCTCTATCTTCACTTTGACTCTGCTCTCTACATTCCAATATTCACTACGCTCTTTTATCCAAATGGTCAGCCATAAGACAGCAACCCAAACCGGCGCATGAAAATGCATGAATAACGGTTATAAAAACTGAAACCGAAACAATTTTGGGGTCGTATCTGTAAGTATTGATTATATATATTCCTCTTATTAAACTGAAGGGAAATCTGTAAAAGTATCGAATGATCGAATAACCTTTTGATAAGATGTACTGCAGTATAGTGCAAGCAGTTCTAATACTGCCCCCTGTTTTAATCCGTATTATCACTGTAACTGAATTATTCAGATTGATTATATTCATATATTTACGTACAACCAGATTCATTTTGGATTTATAGTGATACAAATTATTTCAGTCCAGATTATTTTGAACTTGAAGCAGAATTATTTTCGCTATTGGGAAACCCACATCAAATAGTCGATTTTCGGACCCGTAACCCTTACCGACCCTAACGACTACGCCGAGAACCTTGATCTTGTCTATATATTCCACCAAATTTATTTTCCAAAATCGTTGCAATGTCTTCCTTGGGTTCTTCGAACCAATGTCCTGCTTTACTTTCCATCTCATTCACCCATTTCATTTCTCTTCCTAATTACGGACGCATACTCTGGCGATATGGTTCCGTTAATTGGTGTAGCTTTCGTAGCTTTCGTAGCTTTCTGACTTCTTATCCCTTGAATGACTATTCTTTTTCCACTGCTATCTCCATCCCATCTTCGAAAATTGTCAGAGTTCTCCCAAAAGGCATGCATCCACTTAATCCTTATTTCGTTAAACTTGACACGCCTCTTCCAGAAAAGGTTAAACCACGCCTGTTGTTGCGATGTTCATGAAAGAAATCAGCGTTCGTTCACTGACATCACTCCCGATCACGTCAGTTGTTCTCGTAAGGATGCAACAACTGCATAACCATCATACAGTAGGCTAAGGAACGTTTTGTTCAGAGTAAAATATCAGACTTATCAACCACTCCTTCAAGAAGCCGGGAGTTCTGGGCACGTGCTGAGGTGGTATCTCACAGTTTATGTTCTGCTAACTTTCAATGTGGCGACTTCGTGTCCGATCTGCCGGAAAAAGCTAAAATATTTGCATCGCAGTTTGCTTCCAACGCTACCCTATCTCAATCGTTCACTTAACTCTGTATGTACTCTGAGCACACAATCTCTTCACAGCACTCATTCCCAGGTGTTACCTTGATCCATCATCCTCAAAATGTGCACCCTCGAGCTGATCCCCCTCCAACGCCGCTTATTGTTTCTGTAATTCAATTTTGGTATATTCCTAAACATCAAAATCATTTCTCATCCACAAACGCGATGACCCCTCTCACACATGTTATTTATCTTGATGGTTATGGAGTCATCCATGGCTGATCAAATCGGCCGTTATATGGAGCGGAAAAAGATGCTTAGTGACTAAAAGTGCAGTTTCCGGTACTATCGATCTACCAATGATGTTCATGCGTTCATTTTGAATATATGGTCAGCAGCACTGGACAGCCAAGGAGACATTCATATGTTGTCGCTGGATATATTGAAAGTTTTCTATCGAGTTGATGATGACTCGTTCTCCGAGCTCGGACAACGAATCAGAATGAAAATTGCCATCCACCATATATATGTATATATATCATCTGCTTGCTAACAAGCATGGCGCCAACGCCAAAATAATAATAACAGAAACNGGGGGGGGGTGAATGGGGGCACAGAGATATAATCATTTCACATCGTATCAGATTTTCAATCGCGTCTGGCACACAGGTCTTTTGATTACCTTGCCCAAACATGGCTTTCCATCCGAACTCCTGTCCTGGGCAGTAGCATCTCCGGTTGAGTTGATTGGATCATGTCTTGTTCCGTGTGTAGTATGCAGAACCGACCCCAGTTCTGCATCCACCCGAAAAACACTGACAGATTGATTCCGGGTAACGCAGTCCGAGATTTTATACAAATAGCGTGTTCACAAAAGACCGCGCAATCCCTGGCACTCATTGATGCTCTCAATACATAGGTGAGACACTTCTCACAGGTTCTCCGTGGAGGGGGCTTCCAAACGACCTGCAAGACAGAGAAAACACAAAAAGCAATCATAAACCAGGTCCAGTGAGACATGCACACGACTCACAATCAAATCAAAATGGTTGCTCCCGTGTCTTCACTGCACGTGCGTGTCCCTCAAGGTTAAGTACCTTCCGCCTCAATTTTCTGATGTCCTACTTCCGATCATATCCATGGTGTCGCTCTCCTACTTGTTCTTCCTCGCAGGTCCCGCCCACAAGCGGCTAACCACCCACTTCAAGTAACTTTCAAAAAACACCTCAAAACCGTAGAACACTCTCCCCTTTCGGTTTTCCTGCAACTTATAACAGGCTGGTTCTAGTTTTATTGCTGCCTTTACCCTCCCATATGTTATTACTATTACATATTATTTTTGGATTATTGCGCTTACCCCTTTCACTGCATTCGCTTATATATAGTAAAAAAAAACACGATCGAACAAGCTCATGATCATTTAAAGACAGGGTTGAGGGAAGGACTTGTGCTTCAACTCTGCTCTGAACTGCGAGCTTGCTACGGAAACCCTCATGAGAAAACGACAAGGAGCATTAAAATCTACCTTCAAAACCACGCATCAAATTTGCTGTTGCAAAAGCTCTCCACTAATAATGGTAAAGAATAGAATTAAACTACAGTTGATGGATTTCTGACGCCGAGTCGGTCTCGTGATTCGGGAGCTATTTGCCCGCCTGAAAGAATACTACACACGTTGGGTTAGTCCTTGTGCTGTCAGATCAATCTCAGAGGTGATTCTCATTTATTTAACACACTGATCATCGTGTGAATCCAATAAAAGTATTGAAGATCATTCACCAGGTCGCCGTGAACCGATCCAACTACATTAGCCATAGCTGCAGTCATGGACTAAGGAAACAAGACTGGTGAGATCTTCTCATTTAGTTCGTAGGTATTTACTTGTTTTTGTAGTACAACTCACTTTGGTCGCGCGGTCAGGCATTTGACCGAACGGGTAGTGATCGTCTTTGTTCACAGTTGAATATTGGAACAATCTAGCCACTCCTTCTGGATTATGGTGATTTCTTACCAGGCTGAAACCCTTCACACTGTAATTTGGACTGAGGTCCTGAATATGGTTCACGGTCGACTACCAAGGCAAGTTAGTTGATGTAAATTGACCACAAAGAAAGTGACAGGAATTCGAAAATCTAGCCCCTCTGTGTCACTTAGAATATTTTTTCAGGCGCCCAAGCCCCCTTGATCCATACCCACACAGTCATATCCCGAGCAAGCTCGACGACCGAAAAACATCCATACTACCATCTCTATTGATTTTTTTAACCTCCCATCACCCTCATTTGAACTGAACTCAGAGGCTTTCTATCTCTCCTGGATTTATCATCCCACTTTTCCTCTTGCAGTTCTCTCGGCATTTGTCGTGATGTAATCGGAAACCTCAGCAAAATGGAACTGATTATGAGATGTGCACACATCCACAACTACAAAGAGTGATCCACTGCATGTTATCCGGTTTCAATTTTTCGACCCAGTGTCAGTGTAAATCTGTTAAACACAATGGAATACTGAACACATTAATATCTATTTCAATGACCTGAAGGTGTTTTCAACACATCGGGACCAAATGATGTTAGGAGTATATCGAAAAATCAATGTGCCATGTGTTGTTTTGTTGTGAATGACCTGAAGGTGTGTTTGTAAAATTGTATTCCGTCGACTGCTTCCTCTGGGAGTAAAATGGAGGTTAATTTTCACAGAAATGAGCAATGCACCTTATCACCACGCAATAATCGTTATACCAGTTAGAAACGATTATCTGATCTGTACTGACGAATCAGTAGGTAGTGAATATGAGGGCAAGGTCCAACAAAGCGTTCTCTCCGCAAATCTGTCTACCTTAATAGTTCTCTTTCAGTCGATTTTGCTTATACCTTTCCCATTTTATCAAGACCGAAAGAAGACATATATCGCGCGATGTTAACATTTCGTTTAATCTTCTCAATCGCTGACGTAAAACGAACAATTACGTGAATACCACATTGGATTTTTAGATCCTAGTGAACGAACATGTACACTTAGACAGGGGCTATTAGGATTAAAAACATAGGTCCACGAAACAGCAAGTGAACTGATTCGACCAACAACTTTTGGGCTCACAGAAGGAGGTAATGTAATCGGATTAGCAACGCCTCACTTATTGCCAACAGTTTTGTATTACAGTTACGTAAGAACGGTTTCAAAGAGGAAGCGGGACCGATTATGTGAGAGGACGAAGAGCCGACATCCGGGGCTATAATCGGGTTGGTGGACCACTGGTATTTCTCCCCGGAGGAGTTAGCCAAAAACTCTGATTCCAAACCAACCAAGATAAGGCGTACGAACCTTACCCGCGCCCTTTCGGTTGTGGTAATTGTCATCGGCTCAAATGGGCAATGAGGTGTATTGAGCAATTTGGCCATTTTACCCCATCCAAAGGGTGTATGATCAGAGGACCTGGACACCGGCTCCCAATGGATTGCGAATTACAAACCACCCGGCTGCCTTGCGGGTCAGGCTTTAGCTAGCCGAAAGCTCTGGCTGTGGATTCCATAAGAAAATTCACCTGCCTTGGCCTGGGCAATCGGACAGTGTTCAGCCCACAGGCCAATCATGGAACGTTTTTCTTTTTTATAAACATTATTGTACCATGATTTGTTTGGCACACAGTATGGCGTCAAACGAGTGTGAAACATAATAACATAATACTGTCATGGTGTTTTGCAATGGATGATCCCGAGTTACGTGTGACCGCATGATTACTGGGCGTGGGTTGCGTCGTCGACTTCACCAACCACTTTGGAATGTGTTCGGCCATCCATTGTGATAATTGACTGTTGGTTCTGCCTATATATGCGTCACCGCAAGTACAGGTGAACCGGTATACAGTGTGTGAAACAGAATTGAATTGCCAATCATGTACACATTTGTCCAAATCGATTCCACGAGTGGAGGCAATAAGTCGAAGTTGACCAGCTGGAAATGTGCGACTGAGGGCTGACTAACTTTTGGCGCACATCGTTGAGAAGTTAATCGCCCTTAAAGGATGGTTTGATGCAAACGGCTTTCTCTGGAATAGTTGGCAATGGGTTACCTTTTTTAGATTGTTTACTATGAATATCAATGAATATTTCAGGGGAAAAGTATCGTAGCAAAGATTTTTTCATGAATTCTTCTTTTTCTCACAGTGTTTCTGGGGAACAATTGCTTCTGGCAAGATGGAACAGAGTTTTTACGAGTCCACGTTTGCAAGCCATGGATGAGAAGCTAAAGAACTGTAGATACTGACCACTCCATGTTGCTTTTCTATGGATAGAACGCTGTAATTTACCATCTAAGCGCCTTGCAATTCTGATATACAAAAATGGTAAAGAATCGCCGGTTTCTTCTTTATGGGATACGGAAAGATGTGGATTAACAGAGTTAAATTGTCTCAAAAGGGAGTCAGAATGTTCAGGCTCCGTAAGAATAAAAATATTGTCTACGCAACGTTTGTACATGGTGGACTTGGAGATATTATTGGCGAGATTTTATTCAATCGTTCCTAAAAATACATCACCTAGAATTGGGCCTAATGGACTGCTCATGGCTACCCCATCAATGTGCTTGTATGTAGCTCCTTCGAATTCAACACCAATTCTTTCGGTACATAAGAATATTACTTATTTTAATTATTCAAGAGGGATAACAAAGGAAAAATTACCTGAAGAAATAAAATCACATAAAAAATCAACTGTTTCATGAAGGGGAACATTGATGAAAAGGGAGTACCATTTTATTTGCTACCGTTTGTTCCACAACACGACTACTTTTGTAGTATTTTTGTTTTCCTCGCATGAAATTATTCGCCGATCCGTGCCAAACGTTTGATTACAGGTCACCAGAACAGTCGAGTGTGAACAATCCAGCGAAACCGAACACATTCGCCTTGCCCTTCTGGAGCAGAAATTAAAGGAACAGGATACATTGAAGATTCAACTGCATTCCGCGCGTACAAATTTAAAGAGATACATGGAGGATGCGTCGAAAGTAAGTTCTTTGCTTCTATTTAACTTTGGTTGTACGTGCCAGGCCACTTTCGCGCTTCTTTTGTATCTTTCTAACTTGTGTAAGCTTATATTTCAGTTAAGACAATCAGTGCATTTCTCAGAATAAGGCTATATCACTTCTAACTTGTCGCATCGGGAAACTTTGACTTAGGTTTCCACGCCACATCCAGTTTTTACCATTTGGCTGCCTATCCTGCCGGTAGCAATTGAAGCCATCCATTCGCATAAGCACGTCCTCAACGTTTTGATTCAATCAAGTTTCTTGTACACATACAACACGTGTTGGGAGTAATGTGTGTTCAGAATACAGATTAAATCCGAAATCTTCGTGAATTGCAAGCGAACATTAGTGCTGATCAATGAGGGTACAGTCCTCCTGGCAGGATAGGTGCATGTAAGTGCAGTCTGCAATCTTACCCGTTTGTTTTTTTAATCCAAGACCATTTTTGTGTTTCACCGAACAAATAATTAAAGGGGAGCACAGAATTCACAGTTTTCAGTCATAGCATGTCAAAGAGAGAATAATTATAGGATCTAGGCATTTGGAAAATAACCAAACCGTATTTAACAAAATATCTAGCGTTTGGATCTGTTTATTAGATTGACTAGATGGATGTGCCTGTTGTTTTAGCCCTCGACTATTGGTGACCAGTCTACTACACTTAATCCAGCGGAAGGGGTTAACCAGCCTCCCCGTGGTACCGTGTACGGGATGATCATATTCCATCACTGTTTCTTATTTCGTTAGTTTTGCGCAGGGAATACCCCAATGACATGTTTTTCACGGGTAAACGTTAGCGCATAGTACGAGGTTATCTGTTCTTAAAGAAATTTGAGATCTATATTTCGATACCGACTACTTAATACGTGTCAGTAGACAGTCTAAAGTAAAAAAAACTACGGTATTCATGAAGATGGAACGATCCCTCATATACTCGTGCAACTCCCGATGGATGCAGACAATCATGAAAGGCATTACATCTCAAGCAAGATCATAGAACGATGAATATTTATAGGAAATCGGTTAATCGGAACTTTTTAAAGTGTGGTAGTTTGAATGTCTGTACCCGCCAAAACGGTTAACTTGACACTTTCGGATTAGGCGATCTCATTTTAGGACAGCACTTATCGTGCTCCAAACTTTTGAATTACATATCACCTTCACTTTTGGCTATCAAATAAAACGAAAACTGCATAAATATCCACCTTAAACAATGAGTAATGTAGTTCGAGAAAACCTCACGCAACCTACTGTGAAATGTGAATAACGGTTGCCAGATTGTCTAAGATAAATCAATCGATGGTTTCATTTCGACTACCTTTTAAGAATTAGGTCAGGGGTAAAACACACAAATTGCTCGATCTCCAAGCTCTGTCGGATTGCACAAGCTGAGCAAAAGCAAGCCGTTTTCGAATTGTTATCGTATCTTTCAGATCTCACTCTATACTTTGTTGCCATTTGGCAAAATTAGGTTATAACATGAAAATAAACGGTTTCATTCACCAGTTGTTGATAATCATAAAACGTAGTCCGGAATACTTTTTGTCTACTTCATTCTAAAACTTAATAAGTCAACTTCATTATCATCTATTCTATGAGAATATGCCAGAAAATTAAAGAATAACATCGATAACAATAGTCAAGAGGTAAGGACTAAAGTCCATATGGCTCATAAGTGATACCTTTAAGTCATGCACAAATGCTGTTACTTCAAACGAGTCACAATCCAAATACGTTTTCACAGAGACAATCGCGCACTACCAACTGGTGTTTTCGAATTACTTTTCCTGAATTACGTCGATGATATTGATATGCATATACCACTGACTCCGTCTTGCCTCATTTCGAATATCATTGTCTGAAATTTCCAACCAGTATGCTGGTCGGAGCCGAAGTGTGCAGGTAATTTAGTCACTGTTCATCCACAAACACTGCGACCATACGAGAAAGATACAGAAAGGAACAAGAACCGATGAGAAGCGTGTTGTTTAACGGAGATACCCAAGCACAATTTATTTAATAAAGGTTTTCCGCAGAACATTCTACGCTACAAAACGAAAAAAGGATATATACATCCGAATCAGCCGTATTCTCTGCAGAACAACGGAGTGCAGGATTTTGCAGCATCGTCCTGCGTTTATTCATTCACCTGTTTCTGTGGGACTGAGTACATTGGCCTTATGATCAAGCGTCTACCCAATTACGCTAGTGAATACCACTCGGCTGGGTTAAACACTGGTACAGTTAACAATAAAAGGGAAACAACTGACATTATCACGCAACAACTAGTCAGGTTGGCAAACTTTCCAACCGAGTCATAATCCTGGAGGCTAGTGCTGGGAT